TTATGGAAAATCTTTATGGTCATCAATCATATACATATTTTACTATAACTAGTAAGTAGTTTTGATTCTTTAACTTCCGTGAAGCAATCTGAATACAAGTAAGATATCGTTTCAGGCTTCCACAACGCTCGCTTCGCACTCACAAACATAACCCATTTAGCACGAACTGCGGGGTCCTGTGGAAATCTGTGCATGGTGACACCATCACCCGACCCCTAGGAGCAATTGACGACAAAGCAACGATTCGGCATGTCGTCGTTCATGTCGATAAATCATCAAAATGATGAGCGTGCTACACACTTTCTATACAACTAACTGAAAATCGTTCCTCATATGACGTCACTGCAGTGCTCTGGCGATAGAGTTACGTAACCTGTCTGTGGTTTCGTTGGCGGGCGAGAGGGAAGCAGGCGACTTTTTGGCCACTTTTAATCGCTCGGTATTAATTAACCACAAGTTTTTAAAGAATAAATTTGGTGTTCCGCATAAGACTAACCACAAATCTTTCATATGTAATGGTTAAAAGAGTAACAAAAAACAAAGTTTAGTGGTTCTTTAAGGCAACGGTAACCTACCTGGGTCACGTGGTTGGACAAGGACAGGTAAAGCCAGTCCAGGCCAAAGTAAAGGCTATATTGGAATTTCCTGCTCCCAAGAACAGGAAACAGATCATGAGTTTCCTAGGAATAGCAGGCTACTACCGCAAATTTTGTAAGAATTTTGCACAGGTTGCAGCACCATTAACAAGTCTCTTGAAGAAAAATGTACCATTCCAATGGAAGAATGAGCATGAGGACGCTTTGCAGAATATCAAGAATATCCTGACAAATTCGCCAGTACTGATGACACCAGGCTATCAGAAACAGTTCATACTTCATGTGGATGCATGTGATATTGGTACAGGAGCAGTCTTGCAACAGGAAGATGCACACGGGATTGAACACCCAATATGCTATTTTAGCAGGAAATTCGATCAACACCAACGGAATTATTCCACCATAGAGAAAGAAACTTTGGGACTGATACTGGCATTAGAACAGTTTGACATCTACGTGTCAACAACAAAGTGGCCGGTACTTGTATTCACGGATCATAATCCACTGGTGTTCGTGAATAAAATGAAGAACAAAAATCAGAGACTCATGAGATGGAGCATTGCTTTGGAAGCATTCAACTTGGAAATAAAACACATCAAAGGAACACAGAACGTCGTCGCTGACGGCCTTTCAAGAGGTTTCATTTCATAGATAGACTATGTATACTGTGTACATGAACGGTGATCATGGTAACACTTGTAATGCCGCTGAATGTGAACAGATCAAATTTCACTATATGATCTGTATTTGATATTTGTATTTGATCTGTATTTTGCATTGTGAATATCATCATTATAACTTAGAAGTTTTCCATAATTTGTAATTATGAAAAACATTCTTTTTTGTAAGGGGGGGAGTGTTATGGGTGATGAAACATATTTTGCAAATATAATGTACAGTTTTAGATAGTGATGAGTATACTTGGTGTAATTAGTTTTAGCTTGGGGTGAGGGGCCTTCGCTTGAGCGAGAAATTGTTATGTAACTAGTGGTACAGCTTGGGGTTTGATGAATTCAGCTTTGGTCAGTTAATTGAATGTGGCCAGCCAGCTTATAGGGAGAAGCTCGGTGATTCTGATCTAGTTGGGATGTTTCTTGAGGACGGGATTTTTGCCAGTTGTGGTTGTACCTATAATGTGAATTCACAAACTTGCACCCACGTCGGGACTGTGTCAAATATGGAAACTAGGAAATCATGGTGTACAGGAAGGATTTAAAAATGAGGTGACTATGCCATATTGCTTTGCCCATAATATATCTAAGACAATTCCCTCTTCACTTTCCACATTTGTAAATTGGTAACCTGTATCAGCCTTCTGTTAGGATAGTATAAATAAATCTTCCTCAATTAGTCAGATTGTTGTGTGATCCATTTTCATTGTTACGGGTGAATTGGTGTCATATACCCCTTTATCATACCTGGTAATTTCCGTATGCTTCGAGAAAACTAAACTTCTTCCCCTGCGCGATGCGCAAACGTTTCTTCTAGACAGAACTCAGTCATGTTATGGCGGATCAGTGGCGTCTCCATCGCCCTCGTTGACAACGGACAAGCTAGCCATTAAACGTCTTGTGTGTAACATCAACACAATTCCCCGGCAGATGGGGGATATTTGTGGCCCCACATTTGCTTGTGTTAGTCAAGATGAATCTAAGTCGATGTAACACGTGTTCTGATTGGATAGAAAGAAGGGAGACAATTCGTGTTGCGATCTTTTGCCGCTAGGGGATTTTACGAGAACCGGGAAATATGGCCGTATTAGAACAGAGGTTCGTAGGAAGATATGACAAGTAACCTCTGTGGGAAGAGAATGTCGATACACTGACAGTGCCATAATCAGTTCCATCAGGCTACACCGCCGTTCCAAAACATAGGTATACAGAATGTCAAGTCACAAGAATAAAAATGCGAAATTTCTCAGTTCAATATCGTGTATGGCCGCCTCGCGCATTCACCACTGCCAAACACCGTCTCCTCATCGACTGCCTGATGCTTGTGAACACGTGGTTGGGGATTCTGCGCCATTGCTCTTGCAAGGCAGCGCCAAGTTCCTGCAAATTCTGAGGTTGGTTCTTAAGACCATGAAGCCTTTTCCCAAGTGCATCCCAAACGTGCTCTATTGGATTAAGGTCAGGGGACCTCGATGGCCAGTCCATGACGTTGATTCCAGCGTTTTGAAGGAAATTTCGTGTCAACATCGCGGTATGGGGCAGAGCATTATCATGCTGGAACTGTAGACCTGGGCCATGAGCCGCCATGAAAGGAACGAGTTCAGGGGTGAGCACCTGGTCGCGGTAAGCAGCAGCTGTGAGGTTTCGACGGATGACCAGAAGTCGGGAACGGTTGTTCCCACAGAAAGCACCCCACACCATGCAACTTCCGCCCCCGAATCTGTCGACTTCCTGTACACAACATTGGGCATACCGTTCACGACGTCGTCTCCAGACTCTATGCCTGCCGTCCGCGAATCTGAGGGTAAACCTGGATTCATCGCTAAAGACGACTCGATTCCAGTCTCTCTGGGTCCATCGGAGGTGACGTTGGGCCCACAGCAGACATTGACGTTGATGAAACGGCGTCACTATTGGCCCACGATATGGACGTCGAGAATGGAGATTGGCAGCCCGCAACGGATTTCGAATGGTCTGTGAGGACAGTCGACCTCTAAAAATCTCAGCCCTGGTTCGTGTAGCCGGCAGAAATCTGTCACGTAGGTGACGTAGGACGATTTGACGGTCTTCTGCTCGTGACGTCACACGTGGACGACCCGACCTTGGGCGATCAGAAGTGGTGCCAGTTTGTTGTAGACGACCTCGCAAGCCATACACAGTACGACGGCTGCATCCCATTGCTCTTGCGACGTCGTACTGTGTATTTGGCACTAACATCATTTGCACAACGAATGGATGGGTTCGAGTAGGTTTTGCTAACGTTTTTCTAGTGTCGAAAGAGAGGGATCCCATTTTGGATACGTAGATGTATCATGAGAAAAAAATTATTCATTATTTTTCAAATTACATTTTGTGAAGTTTCTTTTTTGACTCAGTATAGTTTGTCTCAGAGATCGGTTCGATCTACGGGCGATTACGTCATCACAGAATGTGTTTGTTTTATGCGTTAAATCTACTAAAATATAAAAGAATATCCCAACATATTTACACAGGTATGTTGCTGGAAATGGTAGTTGATAGCCTGAATCTTTGTAATTTAATGTTACGTCTTATTTGGTGTTTACTTCCGGAAGTAGAATGATGTCGTAATAATGTCTCGTTCCAAATCAGTTGAAGACATACCAGACTGTAGATTTGTGTCCGAGAGAGATTTTAGAACCTAAGCCATGAGTCAAGAATTTCAATAGATCCTTCATCAGAAGATTTAGATTCTATATACCTACGTTTGTGCTTTGAAGAACCAGATAGAACGGTGTAATGTAGGAAAAGCGTTCAACATCCCTGCTCTCCACCCACCATGGCGTGTCATCAAGGACGATGGAACAGTGGAAACAAACCTGCTCTACCAAGGTTACATTTGTTCTGTTAGATTCGACAGCTATCAATTTTTTATATTTTTTTTGCTGGAGTATAACGTCCCTGTAACCTTGGTAGAAAGGCTGATCTGCCCTTAGCACTTTTCTGGAGAAACACAGAAATTAGAGGTTGAGTGAGTGAGTGAGTTAATATTTAACGTCACATCGGCAATATTTCAGCTATATCATGACGTGAACATTATACATTGAAATGGAATAGATGTAGATTATACAACTTGCCTACGAAGGACAGTAAAACAACTAGAATATCACAGATATACATGTAAAACTAGTAATTAAATCTAAAATATTTGAACTATAGGTGACAACACAATATAAAAATAGGCTATATATCGCCTATAGGTGATGGTAGATCACCATTAGAGGTTGAAGTTGCCAGATTAGACCATGAGCCACTGCTTTCTGGTAGGACTCAATCAGTTTAATTCATTAATAATTTATACATTATAACCCGAAATAGCCAAGTTAAGAATAATAGCAACATATGTGCAAAGCTACTAACCATGCACAGGGCTACGCGTGACCAGCCGATTGATTGAACCGGGCCCATTCTACCGCCCGTCCAGGTGAAGTTAGGGTCGAAGTAGTGTGTTGGGCAAAGGAACAATGTTCCTGGAACCAAGGCCCTCTACCGACACAGGGGCGCAACCCACAGCAAACAGGGTGCCCAATTTACTCGCCTCTTACGACGAGCAACGGCTATTGTGGACACATTCTGCCCCGGGTCCACACAGGGGAAGAGCTATTAGCGTTACCCTGCACTCACCATGAAGAGGCTGCTCTTCACGAGTGCGCACTGCGACATGAACAACAAAGACGAGATAAAGTTATTATATTTGTTTTAACGTTTCCAAATACATAATCCTTGAATATATTTTCGATCGTAATATGGCTGTAAACATATAAATTGAAAATGTACTTTAAGTCTCAATAACCATCTCTTTTTCATGTCTCTTTACAAATATGTGTGCATAATACAGGTCCAATATTGACAAACTTGCAACAGGTCAACAGTCAAAATGCTTCAAGCAGATGATAAACTATAGGAAGGCAACGTATGATACCAAATTGTAATACTTCCAGCTTGGCACAAACATCACGTGGATCGTTGTTATTAAGTAAAACTAGTTGGAATGTAACTTCATCTGCAGGTAATCGTGAAAGAAATGCCTTCTAGAACACCTTGGATTCCAGTAGAAGATATGGAGTGACCATGCCTTTATTGAATTCATAAAGCTCTTGATGCTTGTGCGACATCATGGCAGCTCTGACACTGAAGCCACTTTTTGAAACAACAAGAACCTGACAGCGACTTAGAACAGCCTGGTCAAGTAGCGCCATCTCGAAGCCCAACACTGCATTAGGCAGATGTGCCTGTCTGTCAATATGAAGCACCAACCCATCAGTATCAATTTCCCTGGCGCCAAAATACTTCCTGGCGCTTAATCGTACGTCCATGGAGTCACTAGCAATGAAGATACGACTGGCGTTTTTGAATTTAGACAGAAACGTCCATAAATGTTTGACAGTGGATAAGGAATTGATCTGAGCTCCATCGTTTGGAATGGTTGGATTTCTCCTCATTCGCACATGAGCACAAACTAACTCATCCGTTCTTGGTAATTTAATCATAAACATGTCGATTCGCTCCTCGAAATGAAGAGAAGGCTTCATGAGAAGATGCCAAATTGTGTGAAACACTTTGCCACGGTTGGGGTTTCTGAACGGTTCTGGAACAACATGACCATATTGTGGACTCTTTTGAATCAGTGTGATAATATCCATATTTGTACTTAAAAATATGACATCACTTGGGTGTTTGGCGTTGAAGTCTCCATTAACGTCTTTAGGCCCCTTTCTATTGTCTATCCACCCGAGATATTCCTTACTTAAACCCTGAACTTTGCTTTCTTGGATATACCAGTTCACAATATTCGGGATGTAGAAGAGCTTTATATCTGATGGATGGGTCATTTGGATGCCAAACCGTCGTCCTGTTACATTTGCTAGAAGATATGCAGCTACTATGCCTCGTTGCCTGTCTGCCCATCCCCCACACAATCTTCGCCCGTTACAGAGGTAGATGATGTAACGTATCCTGGATTGGTTGGATTGGTGGCCATTGTATCCCAACACTGTGGTCTTCTCGGTCTCTCCAACTCTGAAATGTTTGAAGAAAGGATCTTGAATTTTATGGTTCACGTTCTCTCGTCACTGTTGGAGACGTTTTGTACTTGTCGAAATTTAGGCCTGTAAATGAGTGAGCGAGTGATTGAATTGGAACACCTGAGTGATGTAAAAACCTAGGCACAGTATGCCTGTTCTATAGGACTAAACCAATCTAAAAGAAGCAGATGTTTGATGTATCATGAACATCGATCATGATTTGTAAACTAGACAATTGAGATTGAATCTTGCTTTGATATCAAAGATCACTGGACACATGCCCTCGCCACAAATGAGCCAAAGGGGTCATTTACGCCCATGGACGTGTAGTAACAGACATATCCAAAATGTGATGGCCCAAATATGTCATATATTCATTGATATCAAAAGTAATATATCGTAAATTACCTGTGGTATGAATAAGGATCTGGCAGTAGCATCCACCGCAGGAAGATGCATGCGATGGCAAGGAAAGATAGAATTATGAAGCACTTAGTCTTCACAAACATGCTTCTCTGAAACACAAGAATCGGACCCACAGAAGCTCATGTCTTGTTTTTATACGCAAAACATTATAAAAGATCATAGCAGTAATATTAATATTTTCTTTCTATCCCGAATGAATGTCAATGATGCTTTGATCAGATTTTCACATAGATCCACATTGCTTGAACACAAATATCTTCACAGTACCTCTGTCTGTTCAAGGGTGTATGCAGATATCCCCTGGGCTGGATCGGTTCAGATGTTGCCTTCTTATTTTCATTGCATCGTTTAGAAATTATTTGAGTGAGTTTAGATTTAGAGTCGCATGGACAATATTGCAGCCAGGTCGTGACTTTAATAATATATACTTTAATAATAAATAAGGTTATTTCGTAAAATCTGTCAATACAGGACAGTAACACAACTAGTTTATCACAGAAATTTAAAACTAGCATGTAAGCATTAAGACATTTATTACAATACAGGACAGTACAATATAAAAACCGGGCTATAGGTCACCAGCATCTGAAGGTAGATCACTAGGGAACATGGGTAATTACAGTACCTTTGCTACCTGCATGTACCTGCTGGACTTACATCATCCCTTCAGTCAGTGGGGATAGTGAGTCAGTTCAGCCCAAAATTGGGGCGGTGGTGTAGCCTAGAGGTTAAAGCGTTTGCCCGTCACGCCGAAGGCCCGAGTTCGATTCCCCACACGGGTACAATTTGTGAAGCCCATTTCTGGTGTACCCCGCCGTGATATTGCTGGAATAGTGCTAAAAGCGGCGTAAAACCATACTCAGTCAGTCAGTCTTTGGTATTGGGTCATGGAGGGTCATGGTATAGTGACCTATTTTCTATGGTATGGTGACATATTGAATCAAGGTATAGTGACCTATATTTTCTGGTAGAGGGACACACTGAGATAAGGTATAGTGGCCTATATTCTTTACTCAGTCAGTCAGTCAGCACAAAATTAAAATGACAAATATACTGTGTTCAATAGCATGGTGCGCATAGAAATACCTAGAAATATGTGGAACTTACACACCCTCTCAGGAGAACAATTGTCTTACGTGACTTCAACCCCCCTCGAGGGTATAGCCTCTAACAATCGAAGTAATGTATAAGCACTTCCTATTCATAAGAGACATATATGTAAATTAAATTGTATGTATAAGTTCAATTTCCTTTAAAAAAACAATTATTACCTGATAATTTACATTATAAAAAGATCCTTAATTGTTCTGACACTGAATGAGTGAGTGAGTGAGTGAGTGAGTTAAGATTTAAAGTCACATCGGCAATATTTCAGCCATATCGTGACTAAAACTAGTTCTAAATTGATAATACATACATATAATATATAAAACCCTGTCTTCTGACACTGAAAGATTTATCCCTTGTGAGTGAGTGAGTGAGTGAATGAGTGAATGAGTTAAGATTTACAGTCACATCGAGAATATTTCAGCCATATCGTGACTAAAACAAGTTTAGAATTCACCATAAATACATGTAAATCATAAACACCTGTCATCGAAGGACAGTAAAACCAACTAGAATATCACAGTATCAAGACATAAATCTAGCATCTCGCTCTAAAATTGAATTTCAAATAAAGACAATACAATATAAAAATTGGCTATAGGTCGCCAGCAACTGAAGGTATATCACCATACAAAGGACCATGGGGACCTAAAGTGCATTTGCTACCTGCATGGACCCTAGTTGGATTTACACCATCTTTATCACTTGCGATGGAAAAAGAAATTATTTGCAATTGAAGACAACAGATGCAAACGGAGACGATAGATGAAGATAAATTGACTTGACAAGAGTTGGCGATTTACAAAGTGTGGCAGTGAATTTATAAGTGAGCCAATTGTAAACAAAGCTGACATGTCTTGGCAAAAGCAAACAGCTATATCTCTAGCGGTAATATATTGTGTGTGTGTGTGTGTGTGTATGTGTGTGTGTGTGTGTGTGTGTGTCTGTTTGTTTTAAGCATCTGTTAATGAGTCTTGACCAGACAATCCAGTGATCAACAGCATGAACATCGATCTAAGCAATTGGGGTAAAACTAAACTCACTCACTCACTCATCCTCAGTGATTCTTACAACACCATGTGCACTGTAAATTCAGCAAAATATGCACAATAAATCTCCATAATAATAGCGTGTTTATTGTTTTGTGTAGTTTATAATTTCAGTACAATCCTGCGGTCTGGTATTAATAATTTAGGACGCAACTGTAACATTTTTGCATTTCAGGTCGTGCAATCAACAGTCTTTTTCAACTATGACTTGATATCTGAAAATGCAAACTATGGGGACCTTCAATGCTAGGCATCATATTGGGGTGTGCATAAACATCTTGGTAATCTGTTCAGATTAATTATCATTACGAGAACCACAGCCTATTACTAAACTACATTGACAGTGCTTAAACAGCATACTTACGTCCTGTTCCAATTGGGCTTGTGCACGACTAAACCTGTCAGTTGTACTGAATACGCGCTTTCCAGTATATTGATGTCTATTTGTTAATCCATGTTATGTTGTCAAACATTGTCACACTGTTACAGCAACCATCACGAACCTCGCTAAAACTGGCTGTTCAAAGCTCTATATATTAATTGAACGAGTGGCATATTTTTCAGAATTACCTGTACCTCTGAAGTTGTTCTATAAATAATTGCGTTAAGTCTGTACAATTGAATACTCCAGCATGTTTCAATCGACATATGTGTGAAGCCCATTTCTGGTGTCCCCAGCCGTGATGTTGCTGGAATATTGCTAAAAGCGGCGTAAAACCAAACTCAGTCAGTCAGTCAATCGACATAAATATCTGAAATACTATGGAAAAACAATGCCATTTAGAAACTGGTCAAATGTAGCATATGTTATATTTGGGATTACACTTTCTTAGTGAGTGAGTGAGTGAGTGAGTTAAAATTTAACTTCACATCGGCAATATTTCAGCCATATCGTGACGAGAACAATTAATTTTATACATAGTAAGTAATGGTGAACTGTAAAAACCTGTCAACGAAGGACAGTACAATAACTAGATTATCACAGATTCGAAATTAAAACTAGTAATTACATCTAAAACATTTCAACTTTAGGGGACAGCACAATATAAAAATAGGCTGTAGATCGCCAACGACTGAAGGTAGATCACCATACTAGGGACCATGGGGACTCATAGTACCTTTGCTACCTACATGGACCTGGATTTACACCCTTCCTTCAGCCATTGGTGATGGAAGAGAAATCTAGCAATAAATTAAAAGCACACATATTCTACGATTAAAAAGGTGGCAAGTTTAAATTTACTTTAAATGTGTTGGACTTACGTACCCTCTCAGGAGGACAATAATTTTACACTACTTCAACCCCCTTTGAGGGTACAGCCACTAACAATCTCAGTTACTAATCTAAACTACCAACAATAAAATGTTTAGCTATTTACAGATCAGTCAACAAATCTAATTCTTTTAAAAAATCAACTATTAAATGATAGATAGCATTATAAAAAAGATCCTTCAATGTTTTGACATTGAAATACTTATCCCTTGTGATGGAATATTTAACACAGTACACTTTCTTAGTGAAGCACAGATTCTAGTACTTGTGTTGGGTTGAACCCCATCCGGGATTCGAACCCACACCCTCAGAGTCAGGCACCTAATCGCCAGCATTCAAAGTCAGTCGCCTAGCCCTCTCAGCTGCCGCAGCTTGCACAATGAATGAAAACGTACCCAAAGAAGCATTAAAGTACACTCATCATCTAACTTTTAGTGGGAGGGCAACTTTAACGCAATGCAAAACTTGAACATGATGAACAATAAGTACGAAAGACAAGTAATTGCACGTTGGGTGTTTAATACTGATTTCCTAATCATCACCAAAAACACCCAAAAAACAAAGTTTTAGAAGAATATTTACCTTGCCATATTTTGTGAGATATTACATCGTCATTTTCTGTCCACGAATACCTTATACAAGACAAAATATGGTTACCATGAGCGATACAGCTATCACAAAAAAGACGGGACATACATCTGTGATGTGATACGCATTGATCACTTCCCCGAAAAACAGTTATAACTTGTATAGCCATCAACAGACATATATCACTTTGTCTTTTTTTTCTTTCCCGACATCATAATCCCATGCATGACTAACTTTCATTATTATATGACTGATTTAAACAGTGACGCATTGTCACACCAGGACAGGTCCCGATAACACAACTACACAACTATTATCCTGATATACTCATGCCAATAATGGTTGTCACCCCCAGCCTATTAAAAAAATTGAAGGGGTGACAACCATTATTGGCATGAGTATATGTACATAGTTAAGGAGATTACTGGATTCGCTTCTGTCCCGGAAAATCCGATATCTGAATTGAATAGCTTTCAAAGATTACATTTTTTTTACATATTTGCCATATTTGTATTTTTTCCAAATATGATTCCGTAATACTAACACCTGTCATTGGCACATGCTAGAGTAAACCTCGCCAAACACACTCACTGTCTTTCCTCTATTCACCCAAGCATCATACCCAACAAGTCACATACACTCATATAAACACTCAAAATATTACATTTCAAACACAATGCAGTTCATATAATTATAGCATATTCATCAGACGGAATACTGTAAACTAAGTGCAAGCAAAGGACAAATTAATAGTGCACTGGACATCAAATCTGAGGTATGTCAGTAGGTGCTGAAACAGCTCTCTGGACATGGCTGAACGCACCTGTGATAATTCATATTTGGTACTCCACAGCATCTCTGTACTCTGTTGTTGTGGGTAACACCAGCAATACCCCATGTCCCAGTCTGTGCCGTGGGTATGTGCAATAACACATCAAATACTTTATAATGGAAATTCTTTCTGAATCTTATACCTGATATTTTTTTTAAAATGGGCACTTGAAGATTACCTAGCGTCCCATTAAGATATTTTACCACATAGTAATTCTATTACTATATTTATCACCCCTGGGGTCCGTCTGGACCTCGCTCCATACGACAAGGATTAAAGGAGGGCATATCACTATAACCGGAACTAAGATGTCGGCAATCGTGAACAGCAGCCTCCTCAAGTTGTGAATGCTGGGTAACGCTAATAGCTCTTCCCCGAGTGGACCTGGTAAAATAGGTCCTCAGCGCCCAACTGCTGATGGTAAGAGGCAACCTGATTAGGCAATCAGTTTGCGCTCCTGTGTCGGTGGAGGACGGGATTCTGGTGGTTGAGGGCAAAGGAGCATGGTGTGTTCCTTTTTTAGTAACACGCCACTTCTACCCTCTTCTTCACCTGGACGGGTGGTAGAATTGGCCTGGTTCTATCAATTGATGGTCATGCCAAGCCCAGTGCATGGGTATTATTTTGCTCTAATCATTGGGTTGTAATTATTTCGATTTCTAGGGCATAAATTATTGATTGTGTCAAATTGCACCTATGTCAGAAGGCATTGGCTGGTTAGGCAATCTGGTTATACAGACCTCCTGAAATTCCGTGTTCTTGAGACATTTATCATGGGCCGAATCAGCCTGGTGCTTATTCTTAAGATACCTTGGCTTTTCAAGTCTGTATTCTCTGGTGTTGTCAGTCAGTCTAGTTTCTACTGTAACACCGTCCTTGTTGACATTCGATGGTGGGCGGGGATACAGATGCTGAATAATATCATCATACCATGGCTGATAAAACAAATACAAGAACACGTCAACACGACATCACCGTTTGTTAAAAACGCCTGACAAAGGTTACTTTGTTCTTGTTGATGGCAGCCCCTTAAATATCAACCAACCCTTTTCCGTCTCCAAGGGTATCCAAAATATCTGTGGGGAGGTAAAATGTCACTCGTCTACCGAACGGTTTACCTTTAATTGAATATATAAGGAAGAAGCAATCTGTCAATCTGCTGGGACAACAGCAGTTCGTAAACAACCTGGTTGTCGTACATAAAACTCTCAATAAGTGTAGAGGTATTGTTCGAGACAGGACCGACTGTCTCTGTTATATGCCAGAAGATGGAATTGTGGCAGGAATTATAGGATCAAGACGTCGCATGTGGGAAACGTTTTAGCCGGAAAGATGGCTCTGACATTTTCAAAACGAATTACATTTATCTATCTATTTACTTTTTATCCCCCGCAACGCGTTTTGCGGGGGGTATTAAAATGGACTCCGTCAATGCATGCGTGCGTGCGTCCGTCCGTCCGTCCTTCCGTGCACATTTGTCTTTTCCGGAGCAGAACTCTAAAACCGTTCACTATTTCTTCACCAAACTTGGCACATAGATAGATCTGGTGGAGCACTGGTGCCTTTTGGTAGTTTTGGAATTCTAAAATTAAATAATTTTGGCGTTTCCTTGGCAACAAGTTTGACTTAGCCTGAAATTAGTGGTAGTGCTCTTTTCCGGAGCAGAACTCTAAAACCGTTCACTATTTCTTCACCAAACTTGGCACATATATAGATCTGATGGTGTACTGGTGCCTTCTGGTAGGTTTGGAATTTGAATAAAATATTTTTAGCGTTTCCATGGCTACAAGTTTGACTTAGCCTGAAATTGGTGGTTGTGCTCTTTCCGAAGCCAGAGAGTAGACAAAGGACAGGCGTGGAAGTCAATGATGTACATATAATAATGAGATGTTTATACAGCAGAGTTTATACAGTAGATTGGGCTTGGTGGATGAGAGCATCATAAGCGGATGGAATGTAGTATCCTTGGTCTCGTTGATGGTGGGCTTTTGGCGTTTGATGTGGATGGCTTCGGTGAGCTTGCGTTTAGTGAAGTCTGTTTGTTTGTTAGAGAGAATGGTGATGTCAGACCAATCTCATTTGATGATTGGGGCTTGCTTTTGATGTGGTCGGAAATGGCTGATTTGCTGTCGGAATTTGTAAGAGAGGTCTGATGTTCTTTCACTGGGTGTTGATGGGTCGGGAAGTTTCGCCTATTTAGCTCTGCCCACAATCACAGTTTATTCTGTAGATGACACATTTTGGGTTGTTGTTCTTTCGGCGGCGGGTTTTCTTCCATTGGCATGGAGAATGTTGTTAAGGTTGGAGGATGTGGAGAAGGTGGCATCTATGCCAGCTTGTTGTTTTTAGGAGACGGCTGATTTGATGCGACGGTTTGTACATCATTGGCTTCCACGCCTCTGTCCTTTGTCTACTCTCTGGCTTCATCAGCTTTGTGCCTAGCCAAGTATGTTAATTTCTTTGTTACAATGTTACATCCAGTATTTTACACTTCCCTTCTCCATGTTCCATTATGCTTGACAACGGTACAAGAATCTGTATCGAAACGTCGCACTCACGAATAAAAGAACTTGTTATCCATAAAAGTTTGTTCTATATAGGGTTAGACTCTGTTTGAATAAAAGTTTTTGTTATATACTGCAGGGACAATTTTATACGGCGTTGTGTAAAAGATGGCTCATCAGCCTCGACGTAGAAATTGTCAACAGGAGA